GGATGGAGTCACTGAAGCAGTTGGTGTGAGCTTGAGTGGACTCCGGGGGATGGTGGAGGACAGGAAGGCCTGGAGGAGTGTTGTCCATGGGGTCGTGATGGGTTGGACATGACTTTGCGACTAACAACAAAAAATGTAATGGCTCCAAAGTGTTTTCCAAAGGCTGAATCCCATTAAAGTAACTGGATTATGACCTAGCAAGATGACCAAGGAGATGATGATGATGATCACTTTGCACTTATATTCTGCTTATTTACCTCTTCTCAGGAACCTAAGGTGAATTACATATTATCCTCACAACAGCCACCCTGTAAATTAGCTTAGAAAGGAAGTGAGTGACTGGTCCAAAGTCTCCCAGTGAGCATCATGGCCATGTGGGCACCCAGATCTCCCAGGTCTCCAGTCCAACCACCACATAAAAAGCAAAATATGAGCAAGGGCAACAGAATAAACATTCAAGTGAAAGATGCTGAGAAAGCCGAAATGGTGTACTGCATGGATTCTGATCTGAGCTGGCTGGCCAGGTGCACATTCAGTTTACTAATTTCTTTTTATAATTGTTAGCCTGCATTTTCTTTGAGAACCTCAGGCTTTCCCCCATCTTCATTCCTTCTTGGTGAGGTCGGTTGGACGGAGAGAGAGTGATCAGCCGGAGATCATCCAATGAGTTCCATTGCTATGAGAAGTCCTAGTTGATGAGGTCCCTGGGTTCCCTCATGCTGGTCATTATTGCCCCAGCCCTTTCCCACCACATTTATGTGGCTCCCCATCAATGTATGTTTTATAGACAGCTTACAAAACTGCATGTTGTATTTTAAAATGATGATAAACCTTGTGGCTTACCTTACAAGGTCTTTGCAAGGATTACTGAGATAACACACATGCATGCACACGTACGCACATAATGCAATATAAAAAACTAGTTATGGTCATTAATGAATGCCTTTTAATGATCAAGAAAACTTAAAGGAATTAAGAACCGTGGTTCCAGAGAACTGAGATGGTATCACACTGGCACTCACGTCTCACAGTTGTCTTACCATAACGAAGCCACTCCTAGCCTTATATAGCAAATATTGCTACGAACTAGTCTGATGAGAAAAGAAACTGCAATTTTTCCTTTACAAAGATAAGATTTCTTTCCCCACTGGGTCTGGTAGCACAAGTCATACTAAGTAATAACTGAATTCGCCTGCCTAATTCCTCACGGATTATGCTGAAAGCATACCCCATAATCCTAAGGGATGTGCTAAAGCTTTGGCTGGGACTCACTCACTCAGCAGAAATTGCTCAAGTTCCCTTCACACAGCACTTTTCTCCATTTTGACTTAAAGGAGTGCAGTCCAAACTAGGTTAGGCAAATTTGCCATGTTCCAAAGCAACTTAGTAGAAAAAGTTCTCGTGGCTGTTTTGTTTCCTTTTAGAACTTTGCTGTTGCCAAAAGACACCATAGGCTCACCTGAGATATTGTTTTGCTTTTGGAAAGAATCTCAGTAGGGGCCCAGTCTCCTCCTGTTTAGGAATCCATGACAGAAATTTGAAAGCAAGAAAATTACTGATTAAACATCACTATTTTGTGTGGGGTAAATGGATTTACTGGCTGATAATTAAGGTCAGAACACTTAAGAGTCATAGTCATAGTGTCTGAAATAATATAATGCCTGGCATTCACACTATTAAGCCATCATGTCTTGACACCAAGCATTATGTTATACTAAGCCTAACTATGTTAAGTATGCATAACTGAAACACATTTCTTTACCTCCCTCTCCCTCTCCTTTCTCCCTTATCTTCCCAGCCTTGAATTCTGTAAGCTTCTCAGGGCAGAAACCTGCCCTTTTGTACTCTATCAAGTGTCAGGCATATTGGTAGCACCATATTAAACAACCAGAAAACTAATAGCCTTCGTGAGTGGTAATGGATTTTTGGGGGGTGGGGGTGGGGGGTTGCTGCTGTATGCCAAAAGTTCCTAGAATTGTCACTAAAATAATCCATTAAAAAGAAGGGCCTCCCTTCAGTGCACGGACTCGCTCCCAGGACTGAACGGACAGCTTCTTTAAGCAGCTTGTTGCGGCAGCTTTCACAGCCCCTTGGCATTAGCCATGGTGGGTGGCACTGGCAGGACTTCAGTCTGAAACATCTGGGCACTAGGTCGCCCTCTCCGTTGTTTAAGTGATTACTCCCAATGATCACAGCATTACAGTGAGATGACTGGCAATCATGAGACTCTTTCCACTCATCGTTTGAGGAACACTTCACAGCAGAACTGGCTCCAAACAAATTGCTTACGGCTACAGCTCAGATGTTCCAATGTCTTAGCCATCTGAGTTTGTGCCACCAAATGTTGGATGTCTTCATTCACTGTCCAGATCACAGTCAGGAAAACCAATATGTTGTATAAATGTCTGTTCAGGAGTCATTGGAAAATTGGCTCTTAGATCTTACGTGGACTAATCTCTGGCGACTAGCACTCCCTGAAATGAGTGTGCCACAAATGCTCCACACATTGGTCTTGCGGTCTCCACACACTGGTCTTGCCTGCCCCACTGCCAACACACAAGGAGCTTGTGCAAAATACAGGTCTCGGTCTCTCACAGTCCAAAGTACCCACTGTAGATAAAGGGGGAAGCAAAGCCTAGAAAGCTGACCTATATGCCATCAAAGTAAGGCTTACATAAGCTTTACCCCTCTCATTTCTGGCTTTGCTGAGTGATGCGTGCTTTGGAAGAGACCCAAATGGCTGAATAAAAGCCAGTTTTACATTAAATGAACACACACTGTTTGTCCCAAGTTATTTATTCTTTAATACTTATAAATTTGACACTTTGGTGATAACAATTAGGATGCATTCTGAGATGGAGAATAGCATTCACCTTCAACAGGTCTTATTGACAGTAGTTCTTGAGTTGCTTATTTCCGCAGCTTTCTTAGAGGAAAACATTAGTTAGTAGATTCAGAAAGCTTGCACAAAATTATTACACAAAGGCAGTTCTAAAACCTCGAAACAGCAAAGGTTAACAACATATACCATGAAATTATGTACATCCCTGAGGATGTTCTGACACTGAAGCCAGCTATAAATGGTACTCAAGATACAAAACTCATTTACAAAATAATCCCTGCCTAACAAATAGTGTATTTGGATTATTAAACATAAAAGAATTTAAATGCCTAATTTAGTTTCAGCATGCATGGTGTTTGCATTCTGAGTTCCTATCAAGTTACAGTACTGAAATTTCATATTGGTCTGAATCCCTGACTAACAGAACAGATGAGAAAATTCAAATATATAAACAAAAGTATTTGCATTCACTGTGAAACAAATAACAAATTCCAACAGGTGCCATCGACCAGCAGCACAGTATATAGAAACAGCAAAACCAGAGAGATGAAAAGAGAGTGTCAGCAGGCCAAGTTGAGACCAACCAGAATGGTCTTCAGTCCACAAAATTGCCTTACTAGCTATTTTGAGGTTCCGCCTTTAAACAACTCTTCAAATGTGTCTCAAGACTGAATCATTTTCTTCTGTGCATCAAAGACGTATCTTTTAAAGAGAAGAGTGATATGAACAGGCTGGGCTGAGTCAACCTTGTTGCTTTCATCCCCCTTTCCTGCCTTGGGCTTCTTCTTGGAGATGGCAGTCAGAAGTGCCTTTGTTTCTGGCCTCACCCCATCTGAAAAGAATAAAGATATGTATTAAAAAGGAAAAACCTTTGGGCAAACATTTCAAAATTATTAGGCTAAATCTCTAATGTGAGCTCATCCCCACAGGATTCCAAAGTAAGAACAGGAGTCCAGGAAATCCAGGAAAATTGGCAGTTCTACCACTTTGTTTCAGGCATTAATTGACTACTGGGATAAATAAGAAGGTCTCTTGAAAACAGACTGGCTACTTCACACACAGAGAAATGCATTATACTTCTAGTTTCTTCTGGAGCTTTATTATTTGAAAACCACCTCTCAAAAACAGCATGTGCAGCAGCAAATTTCATCAGCCCTTAAAGGTGGCCTAAAATTATTTTGGACAGAACAAGATAGATCAGAGCACTGTGCCTGCTTTGTCAAAAACATTTCCCCTCAAAGATCTCAAGGAGGACCTCTGGAACAAGGGATCTAGCTTAGAAAACATGCTAGTTTTCTCATGGGTACAGGGGTATCTATTTATTTTGGGCAGAGCTCTCCATCATCTGAGCCTCCACCTGCAGCCTGAAGTAGCAAGTCCAGACAAAGATGTACCTGGACCCCAGACCTCCTAATGCCTGGAACACAAACGATTATGGTTTTTAGTACATATGACAAAAGTTGGATAAAAGTTAATAGAATGACAATTGCTACATGTTCCAGAGTTTGTTTTGAAACACAGCATTAGTCAACGTTATACTTGTTATTTTATACTTCTTTTTAAGTGGTGACAGTTAGGTGAATGAATTTTCCAAGTTCAAATGCTTTGCTAGCAAGTTAACATTCAAGTAACAGGTTTAAGATATGCCGTTTCTTCTTAATCTTCTGAGACTTGTCATACTGGAGGCTTTAAAGAGATACCTGGATAGTCCGGTCCAAATCTAAGCAAGAAAGCAAGTGCTGCACAGGGGCTGCCACTGAAGCCTTTTATTTCTTCACATGGATAAGAGATCTTCTTAAAAGCATATTCAGTGCCACCTAGCTGAATATTCTGAAAATGTAGTCCTTGGGCAGTGAGCCAATTTCTGTTCAGGTATTTCTAACCTGTGGTGTCACATAACCTTATCTCAAACACTTAATCAGCTTCTCTCCCCTCATGCTGAAATGCAGAGACTGATTCTCATATCGTGGTCCGACAAAAAGATTGAGATGCTTATGATTTACTGGAGACAGGACGTCTGCAAACACAGGTGATCTGTTCCACTGCAGACAAACTAAATGACCATTCACAGCTGATTGCGGCAATTCAGCACCGGAAATATTTGTTTCTTTAGCTTTGTCGGGCAGATACATCCACCATGTGGAAGGCATAGCATTCTGCAAAGGCCTAAATGAAGGCAAAGGCAGACATCCACTAACGTTTCTCTCCAATACTCATCTCCCCCGTTCAGATATGATTCTTGGATCATGTGCCCATCCTCACACCTGTTGGTGCTCACTTATTAATCCTGAAGTAACTGTTATATGGAGGAAGATAGTACTGGAAAAAAATTAAAGGCTGCTCCCCACACTGTGTGCTTTAGGTGTACACCTGCAACGTTGCCCAGAGCTCCTTTGAGTAAAAGCTTAAATAAGTCAAATACCAACAACTCAAATCTAAATGCTCAATCAACACTTAGGATACAGCAGCTCCCCTTTGAGTAGCTACTCAGAGGTGAGCCCAGGTTAGTTTGCATACTTCTCACGTAATTTTGTAACAAGTTCTGGTTCTTCACAGGTTACACTGTCAACAGGGAATTTAATTTGCGAAAAGCCATCCACAGGAAACAGGCAAAGCAAACCTGGGGTTGCAGTCATAACTTTCCATCTCCACTACCACTTTCTGGAAATACCTTGTCCAGGAGGTTGTAGACACCAGGCTGCATTTGCAGTTAAGCTGAGTTAGCCTACCCTTCTAGGCTAACTCAGCTTATGTAAAGGAGATACTGCAAGACCCACCTGGGGGGATGCATGACCAAGTCCTCCCAGGCAATTGATTGGTCAGTTTGAATCTCCTTCCCTGGAAATTGCCCAGTGCTTTGGGTATGGCTGGCTGGCGAGAAATGAAGACAAGACCAAACCAGGTTCCGGGCCAGGTAGAGCTCATGCATTTTCTCACTTCCAAGCTGCATTTGTGAGTTACTATTCCAAGAGTGGCTTCAGAGCAGGATACGGAGTTGAGACCACTTTGGTTGCTCTAATGAATTATCTATGACTCGAACTGACAGGAGGAGTGTGCCCTTGTTGGATCTTTCTGCAGCCTTCCCTTCTGGACTGCCTGAAAAAGTTGGGAACTGGGGACACTACCTTACAGTGGTTCTTTTCCTACCTCTTGGGTCATCTCCAGGTGGTGATGCTTGGAGACAATCACTCCTCCAAGGAGCTGCATCTCCAATACTGTCGAACATCTACATGAAGTCACTGGGAGAAAGCATCTGGAGGAGTGGCGCTGGGTGTTATGTGGCACTAGGTGTTATTAGCATGCTAATGAAAGCCAGATCTATTTTTCCTTACCACCTTCTAGAGACAGAATTTCTCCTCTGAATGACTGCCTAAAGCTGGTAATGGGCTGGATGAGGGGGGAAAATTCAAGTCGAATCCAGACAAAAAGTCAGGTGGCTTACCTGTAACTGTCATTCTTTGAGTGGTCACCTGTACATGCACACATTTTATTTATTTAGTTAGTTTGTATAAAGGCCGCCCGTTAGCATCATGCTCTCTAGGTGGCCATTATAACAAAAATGCCAGCAACAACATATTAATAAGATATGAGTTCTGCACCTGCAACAGGGCCTGTTGTTGGGAAGATTTCCTAGCGAAACTCATTCTGGTGGAAGCCCCTTCCTTCCCACTATCCAGTATATCTGGGATGGGTTCCTGCCCACTTCCTCAGTTCCTCTGAGACTGCCATCGTGGCCTCAGAACCAAGGGGAAGCCAGTGAATTGCCAACTTCGAACCCAAGGATTGCAGGGCCAAGGAATTGCACAATTTTGAAGCTGATGTAGGGTTAGTGAGTGGGTTGTGGGAATACACAGGGGACCACTCAAAGAATGATGCCTAATGGCAAGCAACCTTTCTTCTTTGTGGTATCTGTGTATCACACATATGGGTGACTACTGAGCTTACCTTCAAACTGGAGGTGGGAAGCTGTTGTCTATGGAGGACAGTATATAGGACGACCCTGTCAAAGGAGCAGTCTTGTCTGGTGCAGACATCAAGTTGATAATGCTGGACCAATGCTGACAGCGTGATGGTCTTGATGACATAATGTGTGAGCTGCTGAGGGCTGTTAGGTTCTCCTCTGAACTTCTTGCCATAGCAAACAGAAAGTCTCTGGGAAGGACTAAAGGATCCAGTTTGAGACTGGTAGAATGCGAGTGCCCTGCATGAATGAACGTGTGTAGGGTAGATGCCATCAGGTTCAATGGCACAGCAAAGAAGACTAGCAGAAGATCCTCGTTAAGCTGGAATGGCGAGGACACCTTTAGAAGGAACAAGGGGTCTGGATGCAGGACTGCCTTGTCCCTGTGGAAAGTTAAGATATGGTTGGTTGACACAGAGTGCACAGAATTCGCTGGCTCTTCTGGCCAATCTGATGGCCACAAGACAGTCTACCTTCCATGTGCGGTTTTGAAGGGTCTCTCCATCAGGGCTTGTGGAACAACCAAAAGGCTCCAGCTCAGGCCCAGATTTGTGGAGCAATTTTTGCAGCCCTTTAAGGAACCAACAAGTCAGGAGATGCAAAAAGACCAGGATAACCTGGGAACAGTGGATGGAATGAGATCACCACCAGGTAGACCTCAATGGAAGACAGTTTCAGACCCTTGCTGTAAGGAGTAGGCAGAAAATCAAGGATGTGTTGAATGGATGACTGGTGAGGTTCAAAGGATTCTTGTTGGGCGCAGATAAAGAGACATGATGTAGCATCACATCCAGCTGTTGTCCCTCCCTGTCTACAGGCACTGTGTGCGCTCTCTGTAATCATCCTTGTGATGACTCCACAGTCACCAAATCGGGCCTGGAATGTTGAAGCAAGAAAAGGATCAACCTCTCCTAGATGTAGTATATCCCCTTGAGTTGTTTAGATGTTGGTGCTGCTGTCACCAGGAGTGTTGGGAAGAAGGGGGTTGACACTAGCTCCACATCCTCTGTCTGGATAGTGTTGAAGAGGAGATCTGCACTCTTCTCAATAAGTTGTTGAGTCTTGATCTCAAGTGAGGTTGCCATTTGGAGGGTATGCTTGGAGAAGCATCCCAAGTCCTCAGAGGGGGATTCCGGTTCCTGTGGGATGATGACCATGTCTGAGAACAAGGTGAGCAGGTTGTTGAACTGGACTGAAGCCAAGTTGGAGATGCAGTCCTCCAGGACTTAGTAGGGCAAGTTGAGCCACAGTTGTGACATGGGGGCAGGGCAGACATGGCAGTGATGGAGGACTAGGGGTTGTTGCTGTTGTCCTGCTTTGTGCTCCTCTCCATGGTATCCCAGAATGTTTTCGTACTGATGTTTTGGAGTGACCAGTCAGTCAGTCTCTTCTAAATCTGCTCTTCTCCCAAGCTGGTCGATATCATCCTGGAGTCAACCAGTAGGATCCTTGATCCCAGAGAGGGGCGACTGAAAGCCACAGGCAATAGTCTGTTGTTGTATGGGATGGCAACAGTGAGAGCTTCAATATATTGAGGTGAGATGGTAGCAGAGGGATGAGGTGAGGCCATCACTAGTCCCTGCTACAGCAAGGTGAAGAAAGATCACTGTGGAGAAGTCTTGGAGGAAGGTCAAGTCAGTGAACATGGCAGTGAGTCCCATATCTCTGCCTATGAGATTGATGTTGCTGAACTTGGTTCCATTAGCAGCATAGACCCAGTCAGGGTCCTCTCTGCTCATGGTGGAGTTGCCCTCAGTGTTGATGGGGAGGGGTGTGCCCAAGGCTTCTTCTTATATTTGGCCTTCTCCAACTCTGCCATCTTCTTAGCCTTCTTGGCCCATCAGCCAAGTGCCCTTGAGTAGACGGGGCAA